GGGGGGTGTGGTAGAGGGTAGAGATTCCAGTTTGGGTTGGGATCTTGGTTTGAGTTTGAGTAAAGAGAAGCACATTGATACAGTAACAGTTGTTTGGTGCAAGGAGAATGGGCAGAAAGCAAATCTCATGTAGCAACTGACTCAGTGTCTGGTCTATTCTTCACACAGTAGTCTTCACACATGCTCAACAATTATTTTATCTTTTTGTGAGAGCCACAATTAACAACAGAATTTCCGCTACGCTTTTTAAAACTTTCCTCCACCCTTATTTTCTTTTCCCCTTCTCCTCCTTCCCCTCTTTTTAAAACTTTCCTCCTCCCTTATTTTCTTTTCCCCTTCTCCTCCTTCCCCCCTTTTTAAAACTTTCCTCCTGTTTTTTCCCTTACCTAATCCCTATTTTTTTTACTTCCTCCTCCTCCCTCTTCTTCTTTATCTCTTTCTCCTTCATCTTTCTCTCCTCCTCCTCCTTTTTTCTTAACCTCCATCTCATCTTCTTCCTCCTTCTGTCGCTCTCCTCCCATCCCCTCCCCCTTTTCTTCTACATTAACTTTTTCTCCTCCTTTATTTTTCTATTTCCACTCTTTCTACTCCGTCTTTATCTCTTCCTCCCAATTCCTTCTTCCTCTTTATCTCCTCCTCCTTCTTGTTGCTTAACTTCTCCCACGCCCGCATTCCCTCTCCGCCACCCCACCCCTCCCTATCCCTTTCTCTCCCTCATTCCCCCTTTAATGACCCTACTTCTTTTTCCCTCCCGTCCATATCTCCAGGTCTCTGATATCTGCCCAATCTTCACCAGCCTATCTCTCCGGGTGGAGGCAACGAGCGAGCAATGTGATATTCCTCTCAGGTCTCACACGCCTTTTCACGCGGAATACTTGGAGAGATAGAAAAGAATACTTCCTGGAGCCGCTGATAGGATGTTCTTTTAATGGTGACTTGGAGATAGAAAAAAATACTTCCTAGAGCAGATAGGGTGTTCTTTTAATGGTGAGTGGACGCTGAACGCTGTCGTTTTGAAATGTTAGTCTCGGTTTGTGTTTCCTCAGCGCTTCTTCCCCAATTTCGTGTGTTAAACGTTCTATTTATGTATTTCATGAGATTTCGTTCTTTAGAGAAAACAACATCGGTGGGGTGAAGCGGG